CCATTAAAATATACAAATACCTAACTCTTCACCTAATTCTTCATCTAACTCTTCACCTAACTAAATTGATGTAAGCAATGACATCAATTGACATCAATTTAGTTTGGGTTTGGGTTTAGGCTCCCATAATGGATCAAGTTTATGATCCAACACCCCCCTTAAACTTGATCTTGTGACCCCTAGTAAGTTCCTTAATCTTATGAAGTCTTCGTTGGTCAGTGGCTTGGTAAAAATATCGGCAATTTGATCTTGTGACTTCACGTATTCATCTTCCACATCCTTTCTTGCAACACACTCCCTTATATAGTGGTAGCAAATATCGATGTGCTTACTTCGATCATGGAATACTGGATTCTTTGCTAAGGAAATGGCTGACTTGTTGTCCACACAAACCTTGGTAGGCTCTTCTTGTGTCAAACCTATCTCCTTCAATGGATTTCTAAGCCAAATTGCATGACAAACGCATGAGGTAGCAGCAACATATTCCGCTTCACAAGTGGACAATGTGACAATCGATTGTTTCTTTGACATCCATGTGAAAGCAGTATCTCCCATGAAAAATACGAATCCAGTAGTGCTCCTTCGATTATCTATGTCTCCACCCCAATCACTGTCGCTATATCCAACAAGCTTGTAATAATTAGAAACTGAATAGAACAAGCCAAAGTCAATTGTACCTTTAAGATAGCGAAGAATTCTCTTTACGTCTTTAAAATGGGTGGTTGTTGGAGATTCCATGTAACGACTAACCAATCCAACTACGCGAAGAATATCAGGCCTCGTGCAAGTTAGATAGCGTAGACTTCCCACCAAACTTTTGAAGAATGTTGGATTTATACTTTCGCCTTCTTCATGTTTGAACATCTTGAACATGTATTATGTCGGTGTGCATATTGGCTTACAGTTCTCCATCTTGAACTTCTTCAGGATCTCCTTTGCATAGCTTTCCTGTGAAATGAAAATTCCATCCTTTTGTTGCTTAACTTCAATGCCAAGGTAGTACGCCTTGAGCCCCATGCATGTCATATCGAATTCCTTCATCATCACATCCTTGAATTTATTAAACATGTTTGGGTTGTTTCTAGTGAAGATCAAATTGTCCACGTAGAGGCACACAATCAAAATATCTCCATCTTTGACTTTGATATATGGAGTGTGCTCGTAGGGACATTTGTTGAAGCCATTCTCTTGGAAATACTTGTCGATTCAGCTATTACATGTCCTTGGTGCTTGTTTTAGCCCGTAACGAGCCTTCTTCAACTTCAACACCTTGTCTTAATTCCCTTTGACTTCGTAGCCTGATGGTTGCTGAATGTAAACTTCCTCTTCAAGAACTCCATTTAGGAATGCAGACTTTACATCCATCTGTTGTATCTTCCACTTGTTTTGAGCTGCCAAAGAAATGATTAGTATGATAGTCTCTAATCGAGCAACAGGAGCAAATATCTCATCATAGTCAATTCCAGCCTTTTGACTATAGCCTTTAACAACTAGCCTCGTCTTGTGCCTTTCAATCTCTACTTTGGCGTTTTGCTTCGATTTGTACACCCATTTGACACTTATCGCCTTATGTCCCTTGGGAAGTGAGGTAAGTTCCCATGTGTCATTCTTCTCGATGGCCTTGATTTTTTCGTCCATCGTATCTCTCCATTTCTTTTCTTGTACTGCTTCTTGAAAGCTCACTGGTTCACAATCGACAAACAGACAAAATAATGTAATGTTATCTTGTCGTTCAGTTACCTCATAGAGATCTCTAAGGCTTCTTGTACGTAGCACAACTTTTTCACTTTGACTCCCACTTGACGATGACGAAGGTGATAAGCCTCCTTGAGTGGTTGATGTTGGTGAAGTGGGTGGAGTTTCAAGCTCTTGTTGAGGTTCACCTAGTTGTTCCCTCATTGTCTGCTCATCTTCTTCAAACTGAGGAAATAAATTGAAGTCATTTGTATGAGAGTTAAAATATCATTCTCCTTCTTCGTTGAAGTCTACATCTCGACTAATCATGATCTTCTTATTTTCTGGATTGTTCAACTTTTAGCCTTTCGAATTAGCATCATAGCCGATGAAGATAAAACTCTCACTTTTATCATCAAGCTTCGTTCTTCTCTCATCTGGTACATGAACATGAGCTATACTTCCAAAGTTTCTCAAGTGGGAAATGTCAGGCTTTCTTCCACTCCATACCTCTTGCGGTGTCTTTCCCCCATACACTTCTTTTTGGAGATTGGTTTGACAAATATATTGCACACGCTACTGCTTCCGCCCAAAATTCCTTTGGTAGTTTCTTGCTTTTGAGCATACTTCGTGCCATGTCGAGTATTGTTTTGTTCTTTCTTTCTACCACACCATTTTGCTGGGGGGATCTAGGAACTGTCATTGGTCGACGAATTCCATTTGCTTCACAGAACTCTTGAAACTCCTGGAAGTAAATTCTTCACCCCGGTCGGATCTCATGGCTTTGATCTTTCTACCGCTTTTTCTCTCCACTGTTGCTTTAAACTTCTTGAAGACTTCAAAAACTTCTTATTTCTGTTTCAAGAAATATACCCAGGTTTTTTCTTGAAAAATCATCAATGAAGAGAAGAAAATAGTTACTGTTACCAAGAGAGCTTGGCTTGATCGATCCACACACATTGGTATGGATGAGCTCGAGTGGCTTCTTGGATCTTATCTCTGACTCATTTGGAAAACTTTTCCTGAGTTGTTTCTCGACTAGGCACCCTTCATAAAGTTGGTCAGGATGGTTGATGCGAGGTAGTCCTTTCAACATCTCATTCTTAGATATCAGCTCTAGACCTCCAAAATTGAGATGTCCAAATCGAAGATGCCAAAGCCATGATGCATCTTTGTAGCAAGCTTTCAGGCACTTTGCAATATCATTTTGTATGTTGATCAAGAACATTCTATTCTTTGACATCAACACTTTAGCAATGAAGTTATTCTTATCATCTTTTATAGAAAGATTATAATTATTCATATGAATATCATAACATTTCTCTACCAGTTGCCATAAACTTAAGACGTTACTTTTATATTGGGCACATAGTAGACATTTGAAATAAATTGATGTATCTCATCTTTCAAACGGATAAGGATGTTACTTCTTCCTTTCACTGCTATTGTGAAATCATCTCCAAACGAAACATTTCTACTTACTGAGTCTAGCTCCACGAACATGTATTTCCTTCCACACATGTGATTGCTTGCACCACTGTCAAGATACCAGGAATTTGCTTGGTCACCATCAGTTTCCTTTCGTGCTAGAAGAAGAGTTTCTTTACCATCTTTCTTTTCCTCCACGTAGTTGACATTCTCCTCAATTTTGTTGTTGGGAGCTCTACATTCTGAAGCAAAATGCCCAAACTTCTTACAATTATAACATCAAACTTGACATTTGTCATACTTTGAGTTCGGATTGATTCTTCCACGGCCTCATGTTGAGCTTTCTCCTTTCTCATTATTGTTGTTGGAATTATTATTGTTGTAATTCCAGCTTCGTCCACGACCTCGACTTCCGCCTCATCCATGGCATCTACCTCTGCCTAGGCCACGTTGGTTTCTATCATTGCGTTGGCTTTCATGTATATCCTTGAGTAGCAGCTTCAGGAGTTGCTCAGTAAACTCATGCTTCTTCTTATGCTTTTCTTCGTATGCTTTCAATGATCCTTGGAGTTGCTCGATTGTCATTTCTTCCAAGTCTTTAGTTTCTTCAATCGTCACGACGATATGCTCAAATTTGGGATCCAACGAACGGAGTATCTTCTCTATTATCCTCACATCTTCTAACTTTTCACCATTTCTTTTTAATTGATTAAAAACAACTACTACTCTTAAGAAATAATCTAAAATAGACTCAGATGCTTTCATGTGTAAGGATTCGAATTCACCTCTTAATGTTTGGAGACGAACCTTCTTCACTTGCTCGGATCCTTTGTAAGATGTTTGCAGCTTCTCCCACGCTTACTTGCTAGAGCTTGCACTCGAAATCTTTTCAAAACCATCATCATCTAATGCTTGATAGATGAGGTAGAGAGCCTTTTTGTCTCTCTTTCTTGAATCCTTCAAAGTTGTCTTTTGATCTGGTGTAAGAGTAGAAAAAACAACATCATCCGCAAGCTCGTTATAGTCTTTCTCTATGATATCCCACATATCTTGTTATCCAAGAAGTTCCTTCATTTTGATACTCTAGTTGTCGTAGTAGTTGTTGTTAAGTGTCAGAACTTGGAATGGTGTCATACCATTTTCCATATCTCCTAATATAATGATAATTTTCAAAATCCGATTGCACGGATGAATCCGAAACGCCAAAAAACATTGGGAGCGACTTCGACAACTTGGTCAAGGGGCTCCAACTCGGCTAACTCAGCTCAACTCGGTGAGTCAACTCGATTTTCTTGCAGCAGTCTTCCGGCGATAAGTGGTTGTGCATCAGAACTCAGATTGGGAAGATTCTAGCGGCGACAGATTCCTCTCGTCAAGACCTTCGATCTTTCTAACTCGCTCTGATGTCACTTTGTTAGAAATGAAACACTCACACAAACAACTTTTATTGAAACTCAAACAAATATTACAAGATCACTCTCACTCAAAAACAAGAACTACAACTCACTCTTATAAGACTTTGTTTCTTCACTCACTTAGAGCTCTTAATTTTTCTTGATGCTTTAACTAAAATGGGGAGGAGTATTTATACTACTCAAGAACAATCCTACACCACACAAATAAAATAACTTAAATCATTAAAATATACAAATATCTAACTCTCACCTAACTCTTCACCTAATTCTTCACCTAACTAAATTGATGTAAGCAATGACATCAATTTAGTTTGGGTTTGGGTTTAGGCTCCCATAATGGATCAAGTTTATAATCCAACATACTGTTGCATGGTTTCCATTCTTAATCTTTGTATTGTGAGTGACTACATCCATCTCTTGGCCTTCAGTGATTTGCACCACCTCTACTGCTTTGAATGTTTGTCCTGGAGAGTTTTGTTCCTGTCATGTAGTGATAGGTTTGGCTTTCCATTGCTTCTTGTCATTTTTTGATTTTATCCTGAAAGTATCTCGTGAAGTTCCTTCTTGTTGTCTGGTCACTTTGTTGACTTTTGCTGATGTGATTTGGTCTTTGATAGGAACTTGTACCTCTTCTATCGTTGTAGCTGCAAATTCCTCTTGTTGTAAGAGACGAAATCTTGAGCCTGAGTTTGTTTTTGTCTCATCGTTCTTTTTTTTATTCGGTTTGTCCTCCTTCCTAGGACGTCTCCTTCTGGGTTTCAGTACCATCCAAGGTCCGAATGTATCTTGTTTATCCTTTACCATTCTGTTATCAGTTGGTTGATTCGTTCTGGGAATTCCTTCCTGTCTTGTTGAATCTTCATTCTCCCGGGTTATTCGGCAGTTTTCCTTGCTATGACCGTAAACTCCACATTGAAAGCAAATTTGTTGAAGTCCCTCATACTCAGTGTTTTGAATAAAGCCGTCGATTCCAATGCAGGGCAATAATGGTTTATTGAGGTCTATCACGATGGCCAGACGAACAAATCGCCCCCTCTCCCCTTTACTCGTATTGTAGTCTATTTTCACTACTTTTCCGATCAGTGCCGCGATCTTGAATAGAGTTTTCGTATAATATCTATAGGGAAGTCCTGGTAATCTAAACCAAACAACCACATGCGATGGATGTTTTTCGGTGGTGGTAAAGGATCTACTCCATGGTTGAATCGTTAGGTAGATTCCAAAGATTGTCCACGGACCTTCTGTAGGCACTCTCGTGTAATCTTCCTCGTTTCCGAACCTTACTATGTAATAGTTATTTTCAATATCCACCAGTTGAATTTCGCCCAAGGGTTTCCACAGTGCTTGTACTCTCGTTAATAAGGTTTAATTTGTACCCTATTAATTTCCCTAACAGTTTCACTATTACCGAGTTTCGCATATTATGGTCGATAGCTTCATGCATGAACACGTTCAGAGAATTGATCTTGGGGAAAGTCCCAGATTTATCTATTAACACATCGTTATCTAGATATCGTCTTCCTTAAGTGCCTTCATAATAGATTGTGAATTATTTCCGGAACCTGTTACCATGTCGGCGTAGGATTTCTTCCCTTCATGGAACCCTAGTTTCTTGATGATTTCGTCAACTTTCTCATAAGTTGATTTACGTAATTCTGGTTCTTCCATGCAAATATCTGCAGATGAGATATTCTTGGTTTTATCTTGGCAATTGCCATCTAAGCTTTCGGTGGAAGATCCCCTCTCCGTCATGTTATCCCCGAGGACAATACCCATAGATAGGGGGTTTGGTATTGCTTACTCTTTCTTCGACGATTGGATCTCCTGTCTGGATATCCGGTGGATGATCGCCATGATTTCCGATAGGAAATTTACCTTAGCTATCGTTAGGGTTTTTCCTCTGACTTATGTTTTTTTAAATCAATTAAATTTTAGTACAGTTAAATAATGTATGCTTTAACTTTATACTAATTTAAGTGAATACACTAATGAAAGTATAACATTTTAGAAATTCTCTTTTATTTGATGAAACGAATGAAATAAATAAAAACAATATTAAAAAAATATAAAAATAAAATTATCGAACCATCGGGTGTTTATATGCCTTGGGCAAAGCGTCACAAAAAATGACAAAGTTACTTTTGTAATTTGAATGAAATATAAAATAGTAAATTAAATTAAACAATAATATTTTAAAACTAAAGTATAACCTATTTTTATTTAATAAATAATACTAATAATTAATGGTATTTTTTATATTTAATTTGTAATATTTTTATATTTTAAATTTAAAATATTTGTATTTTAAAAATATTAAATAAGTCCTTAAACTTTAAAAAATTAATTTGGCTCTTAAACTTGAAAAAAATAATTTAGCTAATCTGACATGTCATAAGCCATATCACCATTCACTATGGAAAACCATATCAACATCGTGGACTGTCACATTAGTATTATGAAGTGATACGCCAACATCGTAACAAAGTTTTCTTTTCTAAGTTCGAGGGTTATATTAAATGAAAAAAAATAAAGCGCCTCAAGTACCCTTAAATTATTGTGTGTTTAGTTTTTAAGATATTTAATAAATAAATGTGATGAGTGTTGAACTTTTGATCGTGCAATATATGGTTAGGGCTTTTTTGAATTTAAGTTTTTTGGGTTTTGAATTTTTTTTATTAATCTAAGGTGATTATAAGATAATATATGTTTTAAATATTTTCAACAATTTGACAATAAAAACTCATCATCTTTGTAATATATGGTGCTCGCATTTAAACTCTAAAAATAACAAACATACCTTTAACAATTGAGGTAATTTAATTTGTGTCTTCTTAAAAAATATATAGTGTATATTTTAGTGATTAAATTTAAATATATTTAGCACGCATTACCTTCCTATTCATAGGTTTAAAGGGAGTTTAAAAAGTTTAGGTATTGTTACAAATATCTTAAACATATAAAGGATCATGTCGGGAATTTTTCATCATAAATTTAAATTTAGTTCAATTTTAACTTTTAGAAAAATTCAATCTGACCTAATTTGAATCTGAATTTTCATTAAAAATGTTCTAACAAATTCGAGTCTAATCAAACTTCATTAAATCTGAATTTCTTACTGAATTACTATGATTTGTCCCTAAATCTTATACATAACAAAACTTAAATAAGTTATAATTTTTATTAATCTATGGTAAGTATAAAGTCGTATTTATTTAAAGATATATGTCAACCACTTGATATTAAACGCTCACACATTTAACATTTCTGATGCTCGAATTCGAGAACTAAAAGAATAACAATAATTTTTCTATAATTGAATCTTAAAGATGGGGGAGATTGGTTGGTGACGAGAAAGCTAGACGAAAACACATAAAAAAGAATGATGAAAACGTGACGTTTGGGAGTCAAAGCTGCCGTCTATTGGCATTTAAAACACAGATTGCCCGCGGTTAGGCAATCGTCTTTCTGCAAAAAGCACTTCACAAGTGGGTGCATTTCAACTTTTTTATGCTGGATTCGATCCTTTTTGACCTAATCCAATTGCTAATTCATTTTGACTGCTTCTTTTAAAGAACTAATATTCTTTTAAAATTAAAAATGTATTTAAATTAACTTTAAAATTATTTTTAAAAATAAATCAAAAAGTTATAATAACGATAAATTTACCATTCATCTGATAGGTTGATATTAATTTTCAGTAAAATCATCGTATATTATGATAATTAGAGCTTTTTTAAATGTCAAACTCATGAACAATTATTGGCGACTTATACAAAACTGAGAGCAATTGTTGATGGCTTTGGTGTCTCGTCTGGTTTGATGAAGAACATAGTTTTCTTTTGGATGTTTTTGGGTATTTATTCTAAAATAAATTTTTGGGAGTATTAAAATGTTTTTGGAGATTAAAATAGCTCTTCGTGGATGAATTAAAGAAGCCAAAGAAACAAAAGGGGATCCTTTGATCGTTTTTGGGTGATTCGATTCAAACATGAGTGTTGGTTATTGGAACTAAAAAGGAGAGGGTAGAAATAAGATCATAAATACGCGTTTAATTTTTTTTTTTATTAAATTCAAAATTAATTATATATTAAATAGAGTTTGTTTCATCGTTTAACCAAGTAAGCAGCTTGATTTGGTAGTAAAAACCCATTTCATCCCATGGCATTTGCCCAAGTTTGAGTATCCTTCCATGCAGTTCATCTTTTAATAGTTTTTTTAATTAAAACTAATCAAAAAGTAACATGTGTCACTGATTGGTAACAAATAATTAAATATAGATAATAATAATAATAATAATAATAAAAAATTTAAAAAATTTATTTTAAAAAAATCTGACTTTGTAATGTCACGTCATTATGTCTCATGATATAGACAATCACACTAGTATCTCTCTTTATATATACGTGCTTCGTCAGCATCAAGTTTTAATCATTAGTTGACTAATTATTTTCATCCAACGTGAGTTATTTTTTACCCAAAATAAAACGTTGAGTGATTAAATGCTATAAAATAATACGAACAAATTTAATAATATTATTAACAGTTAGGATTATTTTATTACATTATGCTTTTATTTTTTGCAAATGATCTATTATTATTTGTCGAAGCTCCAGCCTATCAAATGAGGATAGTTAAAGATTGCTTAAGGAAATTGTGTCAAGCCCCGGGAGTGGAAGTTAATAGCCAAAAATCGAGTATATTTTTTTCTCCACATTTAAGCAATGGCACGACAAGCTACCTTAGCCAGATCAACGGGTTTTGCAGAACCGAGAACCTGGGAACTTATTTGGGAGTCCCTATCATACATAAAAGGGTGACTTCTACTACTTACGCGCCTCTAGTGGGAAAAAATCATGAAAAGAATGGCTGGATGAAAAAGTAAAGTTTTGTCATTAGCGGGAAGAACCTTAATTCAATCAGTTAAAACACCAACGTGTACTCTTGCTCCTCTTTAAAACAATTACGTTACTCCTTTTTTTTTTTTTGTATTTGTTTGATTTTCTTCCAAGTAATAAAATAATCCAAAATTCGTATTTTTTTTCTAAGGTGATACGCTGAGTCTTTGCATCATTCTTTTCGTGTACACTTGTTCATGGTTAAATTAATTTATTCGGTTTAGTTGAATTAAATCAAATTTTAATATTTTAAATATATTTTACATAAATTACGATCGTCAAAATCATGTTAAATTTGTCACTTAAACCAATGAGGTAAAAAAATATAAACCGTTAAAAAAACTGAGAATTGAAGTGAAAATTAATTAAACTGGATTCTATTTTATTTTACTTATTTGATTGTTTTAGGATAGTTTTTTCAACCGATCGAATTAAAAACTGATGATTTAATTGTTTAGACCCTAACCTAGTTTTTAAAATATTGGTGTAAATATGAACACCCACGGTTAGGAATGGTCATGTCTTATATCAGTTTTTCCCCCACTCGAATATAATTTGAATATAACACCGACCCAAATGTTATTAGATTTGAAATATGATTTAATTTTTAGGATAAAAATTCATTCCTATTCATGTTCAAATTAATAATGGATTTTTTTAGAAATTATTTAAAAATTTAAAGCAAAATAATATACTTTATTATCTATTTATTACGTAATCCCTTTACTTTAAGCAAGGGACATTTGAATCCCAAGTTGGATAAACATGCAAGCAAGTAGCCCCCAAACCCCAAAACCTCATTATTGCGTACATCTCTCTCTCTCTAAATATATATAGCTTTGATCACAAAGTTGTCTCAAACCCCATTAAAGCTTTGAACTTCCGTGCGTGTGTGTATCTTCTGGTATAATCGTTTTCCATTACCCTCTCTCTCTTTAGTGGCAGTATTTCCGTTATCCATGGTTCGTTCTACTATTGTTATCTCATCGTCTTTTGATCTCTCTTCGTTTTTTACACGTTCTCGTGTTTCTGATTATATATCAAATCTGGGTTTTCGATTTTGTTCTTCAGGATCTTGAAGACGGAGCTGTTCGATACGAAGAGGTGAGTGATTGATCATATATATATATATATATATATATTAGCAGTCTATGAAGGAAAACTGAACGGTGTTCTTGCAGGAATACATCACGAATTCTCGAGGATTAAAGCTGTTCACATGCAGATGGGTTCCTGTGAAAGAAGAACCCAAAGCTTTGATCTTCATCTGCCACGGATATGCCATGGAATGCAGCATCACCATGAACAGTAAGTATATATATGTATGTATGTATGTATGTATGAAGAGATGGTGATCTGAAATCTGATGATTGGTGAATCCAGGTACTGCAATTCGGTTGGTGAAAGCAGGATATGCAGTTTACGGAATAGATTATGAAGGCCATGGAAAGTCCTCTGGTTTGCAGGGCTACATCTCAACCTTTGACAATGTTGTTGATGATTGCTCCAATTTCTTCACTGGTATATGTGGTAAGTATCATCGGATTAGGACGGTGTTAAGATCAGATATCGGGAGAGATCAATTATCTAATCTCAAAAACCGAAAGAAGTAACTTAATTTGATTTTAATATAACATATATGTTTCTGATCTTAGTTAATCGATTAATACGGATCTCGAACAAATCTTGCAGAGAAGAAGGAGAACAAGAAGAAGATGAGATATTTGTTAGGGGAATCCATGGGAGGAGCAGTGTTGTTGTTGGTACATAGGAAGAAGCCAGATTACTGGGATGGGGCAGTCTTGGTTGCCCCCATGTGTAAGGTAAATCATATACTCCCTTCACCTTTTTTGGAAAGAAATATTCCCTTTATTTTTTTTAATTCAATTGATTAATTATTTATTAATACTAGATTATATTGCCTTTATTTTCTAAAAATTTAAATTGATTTTTATTCCATGCTCACATCATGGCCACCAATATATCTATACTTATTTAAAATAAAAATAGTTTTTATTAATAAATATTAATGTGTTGACCTAGAAATTAATTATCAGAATAGTCTAAAGTTTAAGCTTTGATTTTTCTTCTGAAGAGAAAGTCAACATTTGAAAACGATTATATTTAAGATCAAATTGTATCAGATTTTTAGATAAAAATATTGGGTTGATATTAACTTTTTTATTCATGAAACTCAAGAACTTTAATATTTGTACTTATTTATTATTTTTATGTAAATTTAATATTTTCTATAAAAAATATTTATTTATTTTTGTACTTATTATTTTATACCTGAATAATAGAATTGTATTCATTTATATTGATTTTACTATTAGGCCCTTCAAAAATGTCAAAACCTTACCTCACGTAAAAACAAATATTTGCCTACTGAATTTTTTCAACACAAATTATTATAACTTTCTTTGTCAAAAAAATTACAACTTTTGGTAAAATTACGATCTTGGTTCATATACTATTTTAAAATTCATTCCAAACATCTAGAATCAGGCTGGCATGGACGTTTATTATGGAATAAATTATCATTTCGTACTCAAGAAATTGTGTTCATTTTTGCTGTTTTTTCTTCTTTTTTTAACGTAATCCTTTTAATAAAATATTATAATAAAAATAAAACTTTTAAATTAATTTATTTTAATTATAATATCAAAATTGAAATATTTAACCTTAACTAAAAATCTAATATTTTTTTCTCAATAATCAATTCGGGATTTAATAATTTTTAATTTATATACACAGGTGGCAGATGATATGAAACCACATCCATTGGTCATAAGTGTACTGCGAAAGCTGAACAAAATTATTCCAACGTGGCGAATTGTTCCGGTCCAAGACGTCATTGACGCTGCTTTTAAACAGCATGAGATAAGAGCACGGGTATTTGTTTTTTTCAAGGGTAAACTACCCTATTAGTCACCAACTATTATTATTATTTATTTTCATCACCATCTTTTTGGCATAATCGTCATTAAGTTTTTTGTTTCTAGTTTTTAACCCAAGAAAATAATGTGGAAATTAAAAAAAATGAGAAAAACTATATCACAGTTATCATTAATTTTTAAACATTCGATGACCAAAATATTTTTTTAAATATCATAATTTTTAAACATTCGATGACCAAATTAATTTAATTTTTATTTATATAAACAATTATATGTTTATATAAATGTATAGTTTATTAATTTAAAATTTTAATTTAATTCACAGGTCAGAACAAATCCTTTTTGCTACAAAGGAACGTCCTCGTTTGAACACTGCCAATGAACTTCTAAACACTAGCTTGGAGCTTGAGCAAAGACTTCATGAGGTTCGTTTATACTTACCCTTTTTCGGGTTAATTTCGCCAAACATCCCCAAACTCATCTCTAATTGTCTAAACTATTGATATAGTATCACTCTAGCCTTTCAGTTATCGGGTTACTTTGGTCATAATTTGTGTACGTACGATGAATTAATACTTCCTTTTCCCATAATTAAATCGAAAAAGACGTTTGATAAAACTATAAGATATTACATTAAGTTGGAGATTCGAATCATAAAATTTTTTGTTTCTAATTTGGAATAGGTTTCATTACCATTTATGGTTCTACACGGAGGAGATGACAAAGTAACAGATAAAGCAGTGAGCCAACTATTGTACGATGTTGCAGCAAGCTCAGACAAGAGTTTCAAGTTATATCCCGGGATGTGGCACGGATTATTGTACGGTGAGACGCCGGAAAATATCGAGACCGTATTTATGGATATCATCGGCTGGTTGAATCGGAAAATCGAATCCGGAAATTCAAGGTTGGAGAGGGAATTGAAGCTTCAAAATGATGAGATTTTGATCTCAAAACATATGTGAACTTTCCGGTGATTAGGGTTTCTTAACAAACAAATATTAATTGGGTGATACTGTGAAAATTACCAAAAAGTTGTGTAATAAATTATAATATTTATGTGAGCATGTGTATCAATGTACATTTTCAATTTATTTTTTTGAATAGTATATTTTCAATTTATATGGGTTTGCACCATGTCCCTAAACTATTATCTTTACTTTAAATTGATCCTTAAACTTTTAAATATTTTAATTTCATTCCCAAACTATGACTCTTCACTCTAAATTATTCCTTAAACTTTTAAACATTATAATTTAATCTTCAAACTATGACCATTTTTCTAAATTGATCCTAAACTTTGGATGAAAGAGTCTATTTGGGGTCGATCGAAGATCATGAACATTGTCCCCTCTCCTCTTTTTTTATCTCTATCACGACCTATTTCACTTAGATTCTTTGACCATCAAAATCCCTTAAAAAATAGCATTTAGGTGTGAATAAGATATAGTATGCACAAATTATTTGAGTTTGATTAAAAAAATAGTTTCACTTATTAATAAGAGAATCAAATTCGAGCATTATAACATCCGATTCAAACAACTCACGAGTCTAATCGAATTTTTCATTAATGCATTTTAAAAAATTTATATTATTAAATACCCTAATTTTACATACAAAAGATAATTCAAGCTTGGACTTCAACTTATACAAACAAGTTATCCACAGCCCATTGATTTGTACATCTAACCGAATGGAATGTGACCTAATTTGAATTGTTACATCTAACCAAATGGATTGTAACCTAATTTGAATTGTTACATCTAACTGAATGGATTCCGTGACGTAACATGTTCATGACGCATTTCTTTGTGAAACCTAATTATTAGGTTACAATTCCATTTATACTTCTCCATGGTGAAGAAGACAAAGTGTCAGTCCCACAAGTTAGCAAAGAACTTTTCAAGGTAGCTTCAACCACAGACAAGTCCAGCAAATGTGGCACGCTTTGAGGAGCCCTCGGAATACATCGAAACTGCATTTACCGACGTTATCAAGTGATTAGATGAACGTACAAAATGCAGAAATCTGAGGCTGGAGATTTTGAAGAATTTTGAAACTGATAATTTGTCTTTGAACAAGAATTGAAAAGAAAAACACTAAAGCTCTGGTTTGCTTATGAGAAAACACGATCCGAAAATTCGACTCAATAGTTCGTTCGTGATTGTTTACTCGAAAAAACAGTGTTTGAACCACCCATTCTAGAAAAGATAGTGGGTTATAAATATGATTACCTATTTGCAAGGAAAATCCAATCCAGGAACAAGGTGAAAACCGAAACATAAAACCCTGATCGAACCAAACATATCAAAAACCTGGTACAACTCAGTAATAACTGAATAAAGTTTTTAAACGACAAGATTTAGGGTTTATCACAGGCAAGTTCGAGCAAGCAAGGAAGGAAAAAAGGAATATACCTATACCTTTTACTGACTCGAACTTGCAGGGCCGACAAGAACTCCTTGAGCTGAGCCTTCCTTCTTGCTGCTTTCATCTTTCGCGTCACCATTGGACTTTTTGATCCTAATTTTGTATTTTGTCTCGAAATCAGCAATTTCCTTTTTCTTATTCTCCAAGGTCTCATTAAGCCGAGCAATTACTTCCTCGAGCCCTTCTTTGTTTCGCTGCACAGCGGGAAGAACCTCTTTGATGGTTCTCTCGACCAGCACACCTCCGATCATCCGGTAACACCGCCTTGATGGGTCAAGCTGCTGAATGGCATTTATAACTAGTGAATGCTCACTCACTTCCATCTCCAACTCGGTGATCTTGGAATAAATTTGGTTTAGTTCAGATCTCATAGCTCCATACATATTTGCAATCATTTGTTCGTTCACAGGTTCCTCACTCTCAGATTTGCTGGCCATTTTTTCTCTGTGAAAGAAAGAAATGGTTATAGAACAAAAGTAACAGGAAGTAAGTTAAGGGAGGCACGACACCATGGATTAGAGATAGACATAAATCTTTGAGAACATAGTTTTATGATCGAATAATAGGAAGACTAATGTAAAACGTTGCAGGTAGAACATCCACAATGCAAAATCCTAACATGGCAACACTGGCAGCCGAGAATGATTATTTGAACAACCACCGTAATATTCATTTAGCAAACTTCAAAAACATAGAAAACAAATACTTGCATCACGTTGAGCTAAAACAGTAGAAAATCTAATTCGAAACAAAACTCAAAACAACCACAAATGAAGCTTATTCTGCCAGCTGAGGACGATACTCAGAAAAACAATCTCCAAAAATTATACTAGTACCGCTAATAAACGAAAAGGAAGCAATACTCTGAAATGACCTCAATCAGCAACAGATTAGGAAAGCAAAAGCTCTGAGGAAACGAGTTCAATGTTATAAGATCATGAATACAAATTGTGGCATCGGGTACTTTTCCGATCACGTTATATTCACCGGGAGCACACCGGATGCCATCCTTATCAATTGCTATAAACATCAGCGGATAGATATCGAATTCGAAAAATAGCAGCAGCTCTATAAATCATTGGTTTTGGATTTTAAATCCAGAGTTCAAGCTGTAAAGCAATACAAGAACTTCTACACAATAAATCCTAACATAAATACGATAAAAAAACTAAAAGTTTCTCGACTTCCGATATCAAACAAACAAAACCCTAATATATCTTTAAATTTTATTACAAAAATTAATTAAAAAAGGAAAAGGATCAAGCGGATACAGATTTATCAGCTCAAAAATCATAAGGCGTATGATAAACAGTACTGGTTAATCTGCATAAAAGTTAACAATCAATTTCTAAACTCTATAGAGATCCAACGACGACCCATTGAAGAAATTGAAAAAAAAGGGGGGAATAAAAATAACAATAAAAAGCAAACCTGGGTTTGAGAGCGGACGAGGTGGCGAATCGGAGGAGAAGACGGCCAAAAGGCGAAAATGGTGGGTTTCGACAGAGATTGAGAGACAATGTTTAAAGCCGGATACTGAATTGGTTCAGTTTGGAACTTGGACGAGACCGAATAACTTGGGCCGGGTTTAATTTAAGGTTCCAGAATTCTTTTGTAACAAAATAATGGGTGATGTAGTTAAGTATAAAAAGATCATAAAGTAATGTTCAATTATTCTATTGTAGAATTTTTAAGAATTATAAAATAATTATTAAATTTATTATTATATTATAATATAGATAAAAATTGACTCGAGTTCAATTAATTTTGATCCTACATCTTATAAGGTTAGTTTTTTTTTAATTTAGATTTAAATTAGGTCAGATTAAGTTTGGATTTAGGATGAAAAATAATTAACTCGACCCGGTCTAAGATAATGGCATAAATATTTACTATATATTCAGGAATAATTGCTATATCTTTTTCTATGTTTTTCAATTAGGTCATTATTTTTGAATACAAATATATTTATGTGGCTCGAGTCAAGTGAAGGTTTTTATCCTAGATTTCGAGACGTATTTTGGATCGAATGAGAGATATAACCCTAATATCCAGCTCAAATAGACTAAAATTTTAATATGATCCAACCTGATTCATTACTATCTTCGTATTATAATGATTGTTTTATAATAATTAGATAAATTTAATAAATATTTTATAACTTTTAAAAGTTAAATAGTCAAAACAATAATATGAACATAACCATTAACATATGATGTACTTTACACTAATAAATAAATAAAATATATTTCATGCGATACAAAATATCTTTTAATACAATGACTAATTTATTTATATTTAAACAGATTAATTATATGATTTATCACTTATGTTTATGTTTTGTTATTTTTTTATTGATTTAAAAGATAAAGTAAAGCAAATTGGGGCCAAAGGATAGGCATGTACCTAACAATTGAGCCAAGATTAATGTTTAATCTAAAATAAATGACATGATATATATATTTTGTATCTTATTGTATAAATACTTAATTTAAATTCATAAAAAAATTATATATTAAATATAAAAAAATATGTTTTATATTAAATTATTAAATATATTTTATTATTAATTTAATTTAAAAATATTTTATTTTTTATTTTAATTTAAATATATATATTTTATTCTTACCCAACCTTTTAAAATTGTATTTATTATTATTTTAAATTTTCAAAATATATATTTTATCTTAATTTACTAAATATATTATATTATTACTTTAAATTATTCTTATCTAAATTTTAAAATATTTTAACATACAATATATATTTTTAAATAAAAATAAAATATTTTAAACTAATTTAATAATAAAATATATTTAATAAGATAATATAATAGTTTTAAAGTTAATATATATATATATAATATTATGAATTTAGTTAAGTATTTATAATCTAAGTTACAAAATATACATATCATGTTGTCTATTTTAGATCAAGCATTGATCTTAGTTCAATGGTTAGGTATATGCTAAGTTCAAGTGACATGTTTACTTTGTGTTCTTTCAATGAGAAGTTGAAACGTTTCATCCTTTGATGGGTGGAAAATAAATATATTAAATTAAAATAAAGTTAATCCTCCAACTAATGATGATATGTGACATCATTCGATTAGAGAATTAAATTTATTTTAATTTATTAAAAATAAGCATAAATTGAGAAAATATATAAATAACAAGAATAATGTACAATTATACAAAAATATTTAACAATAATCAACTCATAAGGATCACATCTTAAATTTTAAAAAAATGACTATATATTATGTTTTTTGAAACAAAAATAATCAATCATTAATTAACCACCAAAGATTATTGGAGGTTTAAACATATTTGATCTACCTTCAAATGTCGAGAGTCACTTAAAAGGTAAATTTTAGTGTATTAAACTTAATTTTTCGTTAAAAAAATAACGATTATTCAAATTAAAATTTATTTTAAATTAATCTTTTGTAATATAAAAGAAGAGAGGCATTAGATGTCTATCAATTAACAACCGAACTCATAAGACAATCGACTGATCGAGTTATAAAAACAGCAAATACTCAATTCTGCAGAGCAACTTAAACACTGATTTTTGCCTCTACTGCACAACTAGTTTGCCTACGAACTACTTATACAGTACTTCCAACTTCGTCTCGTGCTTCTGACTCGACTCCGACATCTGATTTCTTCCTTGTCCGCCTCGGATTTCGACATGCTACAGCCTTCTTAGCCGCAATTAGTAACCAACGATCCAGGTAAAAGACCTGCAAACAAAGGACCTACTCTCAAATGATCTTGTTTCGAACTTCCTCAAGTTTCTTCAGTATCTCCCCAGGAGTACGATCCAACTCGTCTGCAATTTTTCTCTGCAAATCCAACGGTAGGGCCGGAAACTGCTCACACAAATCCCCATCGATCACATCCTGCAAATTCAGTTCAAGTTTTCATACCAGAAGTAATATGACAAATAAAATTAGGGCCATCATCGTCTAATTACAGTCAAGTTAATATATGGCTAACCATATAATTAGACCAAAGAATCAACCTTCACGTCGTTCTTCAAACTCTGGTTAGCCATATATTAACTTGACTGTAATTACACACTCTCCACATCATTCTTCAAACAAATCAATTTTTTCTTTTAATAGCATGAGAATGAGATGGACAATGAACTAGCAAAATGTAATGCTGATAAAAAATTCTTGATGATAAGATAAAACGAGTCTTCCAATTAACAACTTACAGGAGCCATCTGTGAGAATATGACTTCAATAAAATTCAGTGCATAAGGAAGCAGGAGGTTCACCTTGACGGGGAAATAAGCAGATCTATAAGCCATATGATCTCGTCCACACAAGGGAGGGTGTTCTTGTCTCATATGCATCTCTAGGTGAGAAAAGAAGTCAACATCATCACGGGAAGTGAACGGGAGCAATGCCCCCAAGCTCCCCATTACCGTTCCATAAAGAACACATTCTCCACCACCCGGTATAAGAGATGCCTTCTGCAAGCTAGTTACCAAATCTCCGACATGGAACTGAACTATCTCCTCTACCTTGTCAGGAGCTCCATTGAGCCTCCCTTGTTCCCATTTTATCTTTCCACCAGTTGGATCTTCCTCAATTTCATCCGACACATCTTGTGGTAGCCGCACAAAATAGACATTCCCAAACTTGTCTGCACCAGCCATGGTGTCAAAATCTATATGGTATGACGCAGTAAGCCATCTTGGAACAACATCATCGGCAAATATATACAGTTGATTTTCATCCCTCCTATACTTGCAAAAATGGAACGAATGCAATAAAGGACACTATATAATATTAGTATGCAACTAATTGACAAAAGGAAGCAAAACATAGGAATTCATAAAATCAAAGTGGACTCTAGTTTAAGAACAAGACAGGATTAAAAAGACCTTGCAAACCTTTCTTACCTTCAATCATAGCCTAAATTAAATTGGGGTAAATTATGTGTTTAGTATCTAAACTATCAGTTTGAGTCCGTTTTAGAACCTGAACTTTCATTTTTTTTCAAAACCATACCTAAATTTTAATTTTTGTTTCATTTCATTACCCGTTCAAAATTTAACATTAAATTTTGAAAAAATTGAAAATTTAGGTACTAAAATGGATCAAAACTAATAGTTTAGGTACTAAATATGTTAAGTTTTTAATGGTGGGAGACTAAAATGAAACAAAAACTAAACAATAGATATGATTTTTTTTTAAAATTGAAAGTTAAGGAACTAAAACGGACCAAAACTGATAATTTAGGTACTAAATGCGTAGTTTACCCATTATATTGATTGATAAATTTTACAAAATCCACATAAAGTCAAGCATACAAGCAATAAAAGTAAAATTCTCAAGAGAAGAGAAAAAGATATGAGAATCCAGAAAAAGAAAAAGAAAAAAACATACCTCTTGGATGCCCCCACATATATTCTATCTCGATAAGTCTGGATAGAGACAATAGTGTTAGGAAAAAGCTTATTCTCACATTTCCTAAGCAGTCTCTTTTTCCCCAAATCATATAATCGGAGCACAGATCCTATCGCAGCAAGTAGCCTGCCCTGAAACTGACATAAAGCAAGAGGAACACCTTCCACTTGTGTCTTGTGCAGAAGTTCAAGTGATCTGCCATCTTCTAGAAACCTATAAATGTGAATGAATCCAGCAACTAAGCTTCTTTTGGGCCAAAACTGTAGCCCATTGGCTGTGCCAACAGCCAAGAGAGTTCCATACTCTTTATCATGGAAATTCACAGTACACACACTGACACACTGAAAGCAGCTTCATTATCTTGAAGCTCCAAAAGGCAAGTTGTGGTAGCTGTCCTAGGATCAAGAACTCTAATGCAAGAAACCCACTTGCTCGACTCTGCCTTTGGATAACCATACTGCTCATCAGAGAGGGGATCCTCTTTGTCCTCATCATCCCCACCATTTTCCATTTGGTTCATAGTACAGTTGCCATTTTCTCCCATCCCAGCAGCCTCAAAGCATTCCTTTCTTGCAGCTTCACGTTCTTCTGCAGTATATGATCCTTTGTCGCTCTCTATAATTACCAACAATTTACGCTTAGGTTGCAATACAAACCTCCTAGGAGTGTACCTCAAAGGAATAGCAGTCTCATTAAGGTTTCTCCAAGACGCTCAATGGTGAAAACTCTCAGTGTATCCCCAGAAACGGCAACAACACCTTCGGCACACTGATCAGATGAAAACGAGGCAGCAAATTCAAGTGCCTCATATGAAAGGGGTGTTAACAGAAAATGTCCCTGGTGAATATAACCAAGCCATGGTCGACTAGACAAGCAAAGCATTGCAGGTCGGCCTCTAACTTTAACAGAGAACAACTTTGGGGCTCTGAGACCTAAGAATCGTGAACGGGAATCAGAAAGTTGCCCTGTTATCATATCCACCACCGTCCGGAACAGAACTCCATTCTGCAGACCAGCATTAAGGAAAAGATTAGCAGGATGATCAGCACCATCTTCCCCACCGATCGATGCTTTAACTTCAAGGAAAAGAAGAGATTCAGGAGGTGAAGATACACTCTGAACGCTCAGAGCCTGCATAC